TATGACAACATCTCAAAACCCTTCATGAACATTAGCTATTCCTCATTATCTTCCTTTGCGATGGAAAACAGAAAAGCCACTTTGCTAGCAACAAGGGAAGGCATGAGTGTTGACTTGCTCGTAGTCATGGAGGAAAACCATGGTGGGCTTGGTATGAGAGAGGAGAAAAAAGAAAACCAAACTCCCAAAGTAAACTCTTCAGTTCCTGCAGTTGCAGAAACATGGCATATCACCAGCAGCAGTGCTTCTGGGGTTAGGTGGGAACACCACCGTCACTACTTCAAAATGATTGGGGTTAGGGAGCTCTGGTAGATCTTTGTTGTTTTGTTTTTTGTGTTTTTTGTTTGATTGTTTGTTTGTTTGTTTTTTTGTTTGTTTGTTTTTGTTGTTGTTGTTTGTTTGTTTGTTTTTGTGATGGTAAGGATTTCCAGGACAAAAAATCCTTATGGAAGAAATATCCTGTTCTACAGCCTCTGCACCAGGGCCACGCTTCCTTTTCAGCACGGGACGTAGTGCAAGGCAGGCACAGCTCCCTGCTGCGCCCATCGGCTGTACCCCACAGGCAGGTAGCCCCGCAACAGCGTTGTTCATCACCAGCAAACTCAAACCAGTTTAGACCCTCACGCCTCTGTTATTTTAACCAATCTTTGTGATTATGGTGGCTAAAGGGAAATAAAAAATCTTACAGAATCGGATACAATTGCCCTGGGAAACCTTGCTGGCTTCTTTCAGGTTGATCTGCTTTAGACCTCCTCCCACTTGCAGGGCCCCCCATCCCTCCCCCTACACACAGCCATCTCCCTGCAGCCACAGGCAGGTTTGGGAAGGGCAGGACTGTCCCGTTATCACCTGCTCCCCCAGCACGGCCGGCAGTGCTGTGGGCCTCGCACCACGCCAGTGGCCAGCCCTTCTTCTGCTCTCTGTGCCCCTTCCCCAGTGCTGCCCTAGCCAGCGCAACACCAGCAGCCCGAGCGCTGCACCAGCCACTGTTAATGGCAGTGTAAGCTCATTTTATTTTGCACGCAAACAGATGAGGTGATGTCTGTGTCTGAAGGACCGGCAGGTACAAGGTAACTTGGGACAAGGGCCACTGTCCCCTGCCACCGCTGCAGCACTGCCTGTGGGAGCCCCCCTGGCCCTGCCTGAGTGTGCCGGACACCAGGGCTGCTCTTTCCCTGGGAAAAGGACAGAGCTGCATCCGTACAGAAGTCCCCTCACATTCATGTACCTGAACCCCTACCCACAGCACTCCCGCTTTGGCAAAAGAGGACAACCTAAACAGAATTGCTGAGGCATGACCTCTTTTGCAAATACAACCCAGGTCCCCATGCCTCTGTGAGCCGGGGGCGAGGACTGATGCCTTTTGCCACTGGCTTTAGGCTGCTCATCTCTGAGCATGTGTGAGAGCTTTTTTATAAGGCGGTCCTCTCCCTTTTCCCTCCCGCACTAGAGATTTATCATCTTTAAAGCCTTGTTTTCCCTGGAAGGGAGAGAAGCTGCTGGAAGCCAAGCAGTGAGGGCACAGCAGGGCAGGGAGGGCATGTTTGGAGGGTGTTATGGGCGGGAGGGGTGTGCCAAGGAAGAAAGCTGTTTCCAGGGATCTATATATATGCAGCTCCCTGAGGTGGGGTTACAGAGAGGCTCATTCCCGGGCTGCCTGTGGCACTCCCTGAACAACGGTGGCCAGAGCTGCCTCCGAGCCTCACGCTTTGGTTTCAGAGCATGGCCTTGAGCATGGGTTTGGCTGTGGTCCCTGCAAGCAGAAGAGGACAAGGTGCCCAGGGTTGCCGCAGTGCCGGAGGTTTGCACGCTGCTGGCCCCACTTCTGCCCTGGAGCTGCACTGGTGTCAGCGCTGAGGGGCTGTTCAGGTCCTCTCAGCAAAGCCAAACCCAATAGATATTGTAGGTCAAAGTGCTTTTAGTTTCTGCAGTTTTGGAGCCCCAGGGGAGAAGCATGTTGGAGTGCCAGTTCCTTTTCCCAAACGGGGAACAGAACCGTGACATTTTGTGGGAGGTGGCCCACCTGGGCCACATGCTGTTCTCTGTGCGATGCAGATTATCACATTAGCAAAATCTCTACCCAAATGAAATTAGGAAACACCTTCAGTGCCCGCATCTTCTCCAAGATTCCCTTTGCTCTTCTGCTCAGAGACTCCCTCAAGTCTGTCCCTTATAACTCAGGTTTTCCCTGTTACTTAGCTTCTGAAAAAATTTTGCTAACAGCCGAGACATCTGCAGACCCTGGGGAAGCTTACATCAAAACCCAGCCATGGCTGTGCCTCCCGAGCTCATTTAAACAGCCACTCATAACTTTTGTCCCTTCAAGGACTCTTTCTTTCTCTGGATTTTCCATCCCTTGGTGATATTTGCATCCAGGGAATCTTTTCAAGTTGCCCACTGGGTGTAACTGCAGAGCCAAGTTACGGAGGGTTGTCCTGCACTACAGGTCCAGCCAGCTGTGAGGCAAGCAGTGAGTTGCAGCCCCAGAGGATGCTGGTGGTGCATTTGCACCATTACCCTCCCTCCCACGGCACATCAGTGTCCTGCCTCCTTCCTCCTATTCCCTTTTACTCCTCTGCAGTCACATTTATTCCTTTGCTTCCCCCAAAACAGAGGATGCCGGTCCTGGTGATCCTTTGCCTGCTGCCAACAGCACTGTTACAGATGCAGAGAGGATAATGAAATTATCAAGAAATGCACAACAAAGACCAAACCCTGACTGCTGCACACAAGTGAAATTTCCCAAAACACCTTCCCAACAGCAGGGCTTGTGAGCCATGTGAAAATCCCACTCACCTGTTTCCAAACAATCTGTGCCTGCAATTGCTAAAAATCACAAGCCCAAACAAAAAGCTGGTTTCAGATCAAAAAACCTGTTTTGGTTTGAAATTAAAACCTCAACAGGTTTGGTTTCGAAGGCTTACAAATTCATTGCCTCCCAGTTCATTCACTGAGCAACCAAAACAAGAAACCAGTCTTTATTATTTTTTTTTTTTTCAGCTGTAAAAATGCACTTTTTGGCACTTAACTTCGACAGGATGAAATTAGCGCTAAAGCTATTGAGAATAGCTGATGCTGGGGGCTAGTACAAGACAAAATGCTGCTGTTGGAGACAGCAGAGACAGCTGCCAGTGGCAGCATCAGCCACCCCGTGCAAGGCAGTGCCCACGCAATGCCCCGGCTGCTGGAGGATCGCCCTCTGCCCACGGCTGCGCTCAGGAGCAGTCCTAAACCCAAGTTTGGCACCACAAAACCTAGGTCTTCATTCAGAGGGAGAAAGCATCCCCTGCCCCCACTGACTCTGATCAGGCTGGAGAGAGGGGTGGCTGGCTCAGTGTCACTCCCCCCCAGAATCAGCCCCTTCCATTGGGGGTTTAGGACCCAAACTTTAATCATGCAGGTGGAAAAGCTGAGTCTATGCAGGTACCCTACATCGATCGCTGACTAATCTGTGAGGCTGCTTTTCTAACTTAACTTTTTTCTGTTCTTCTAAAGCAGCCTTTTAATCGAATAGCAGAAGCAGGTCCTAAAATCCATCTCATAACACCACTGAAGCCACAATTAAACCCGAGATCAGGGGTCAAGGACTGAGGACTTAACATTAGTTAATCACCTCCCCAAATCCCAACACAGAGCTGTCAGATGAAAAAAGTGCCACCAAACAACAACTTGTGCACATGGAAAGTAAAAGCTCATGTTTAGTTGTAAAGAAGCAGCCGTGTCCCTGCTTTCCAGTCCAGCCCCAGTCACTCAGAGAGGGATCTTGGCTCAGGAGCTCCTAGGGCTGCCCAGGGGGTCTCCCTGCCCCCAGATACCAGCGAAGGATCAGGCCAGCTCCTCCAGTTGGCTTTTCCTTTGGGATGGGGCTACAAAAAATGCACTCATGTATAGGTCTCAATTTAATGCAGGTAAACCCAGCCAAAATGTGGAACAAGTGCACCCTTAGCCTAGTCACAGCAGAGCAAAAAAACCTTCCTGGGCTGCAAATTTAGCTGAAAGTCATCTTTTATGTCCCAGCGTTGCTGTCTCTCGCAGCAAAGGGACACCCTAAAACTCAAGCACTGCTTTCCCGCCAGAGCCCTGTGCTCCAGGAAGGGTCCTCCTCCAAAGGCTGCCCGCTCCTGCACATGTGCCCTGACCCAGGGAGCTGTGCCAGGCCTGGCAGGGCTTTAGGGTGGCGGCTCCCTGAGGGAGCTGGGCACCTGGGGGAGGGAGGGGGGGAATGACACAGTAGAAGCAACGAGGAGCCCCAGAGCCCCCCACCCCAGTAAGAGAGAAGTGAGACAGGCAGGGGCAGCTTCCCCACCTCCCACCCTGCTCTGCCTCCCGGTAGGCAGAAAGGGCAGGCAAACACCTGCGGCAGGGGGAAGCCCCCCGGGTTTTCCTTCGGGCTCCCCAGGAGTCCCCGTGTGAAGGATCGGGCCCGGGAGGGCAGGGGAGGGGGTGGTCCCCTTGCAGGCAGCCCCTCATGCGTGACCACTGGCAAGGGCAAGCGTGTCAGGCAGGGTGAGGAAGTGGCCCTGGCTGCCCTCGGCCCCCCAGCGACAGCCTGCCCTGCCCGCGGGTTTCCCATAAGGGGAGTGGAAAGCTCTTTATTTAACCTGCAGCCGCCACCTGCCCTCAGCCCCAGCCTCGCCTCCATCCATCGTGCCTCGGAGCTGCAACAGCACGCTGGGGATATGATTTTGGCAGGCTGAGCCAACTAAAATCCTTGGCAAGCCAAGGCTCCAGGTGACCCTCTCCCCTCCCCGGGCCTAGGAGGAGCATGTTGCAGAGCGGGGGGCACCCACCTTGCGGCAGTGCGATGCAGCACGCAGCCACCCCCGGGCTGCTCTGCACTGCCTGCAGCCCCAGCGAGTCACAGGGAGTCACAGCTCCTTGGGCTGGGGTCCCATCCCCCCTCCTGCCTGGGGGGGGGTCCCAGCCCCCGCTGCTAAGATGACACGTGCTACGCCAGCAAGTGAGGGAAGAACACAAGCAAATGATGACAAACAACAGAATTAGGGGTGTGACAGAATGACTGATGATTTAATGCTTCTTGAAGTTTTTTGTTTCCTTCCACAGGGCATTGGTTTTAAAAACAAACAAAACGAGGTAAAATAAATTAATTTATGTACACTTTACATCCACTGTGTCACGTGGAGCTTTGCAGCAACAGTAACCAGAAATTGTTACAAAATAGAAAGTTACATGGCTGTTGCAGGTCCTCGGCAGCCTGCAACCTCGAAGGCTGTCATCCCGAGTGCAGTTGGCGGAGTGATGGTGTAAACATGTTTAGAAGCATTTACGGTGGACAATGGATGGGCCGGCTTCATCGTATTCCTGCTTTGTGATCCACATCTGCTGGAAGGTGGACAGGGAGGCCAGGATAGAGCCACCGATCCAGACAGAGTACTTACGCTCAGGTGGGGCAATGATCTAGAAAAAAAGCAGAGAGAGACAGGATCAGTAAACAAGCAGCCGCTGCGGGCAGCTGGCACAGGGGTGTGCAGGGCCCCACGAGCCGTTTGCAGGGGGGGGCAGAAGGCAGCTGCCTCTGCACCCGGGGCCCTTCGTGCTCCAGCCTTACCTTGATCTTCATTGTGCTGGGGGCCAGGGCTGTGATCTCCTTTTGCATGCGGTCAGCAATACCTGGGTACATGGTGGTACCCCCAGACATGACGTTGTTGGCGTACAGGTCCTTCCTGATGTCAATGTCGCACTTCATGATGCTGTTGTAGGTGGTCTCATGGATCCCTGCGGATTCCATACCTGGGGGCAGGGGAGGGGAGAAAGGGAGGCACAAGTTAGGCGCGAAGCGGAAGCTCTACGGGAGGAGGGCTCAGGAGAGAGGGAGGGGGGCACACACACCAATGAAGGAAGGCTGGAAGAGGGTTTCTGGGCAGCGGAAACGTTCGTTGCCGATGGTGATGACCTGCCCATCAGGCAGCTCGTAGCTCTTTTCAAGGGAGGAGGAAGAGGCAGCGGTGGCCATCTCGTTCTCAAAGTCCAGCGCCACATAGCACAGCTTCTCCTTGATGTCACGGACGATCTCACGTTCAGCTGTCAAGGGGGGAGCAAAGGCATCAGCGATCGCAAAGAAGGAACAGGGAACGCTTGCATCACCTCCATAGGTCTGCTGGGACCCCAGACCTCCAACCACACGCAAACTTCTCAACAGGGAATGCTCATGGGGCTTTTCAACAGAGCGAGAGGCTGCAGCATCCCTGGAAGTGCAAGGGTTGGAAGGGAGAGGAGAAGTTTTGGGGGGAGGGACCAGTGCTTACCTGTGGTGACGAAGGAATAGCCACGCTCAGTCAGGATCTTCATCAGGTAGTCAGTGAGGTCCCGGCCGGCCAGATCCAAGCGCATGATGGCATGGGGCAGGGCATACCCTTCATAGATGGGGACATTGTGTGTCACACCATCGCCGGAGTCCAGCACAATACCTGTGGAAACAAGAAGCAGCCACCTGAGACGCAGCCCACAAAGGGTCCTGCCCTGGGTGGCAGAGCACTTGTCAGCTGCAGGGGACCAGTCTCGTCCATCCTTGCGTGTGGAAAAGGGTGAGCAGGACACTGGCACTCACCAGTGGTACGGCCAGAGGCATACAGGGACAGCACAGCCTGGATGGCCACATACATGGCAGGGACGTTGAAGGTCTCGAACATGATTTGGGTCATCTTTTCACGGTTGGCTTTGGGGTTAAGGGGGGCCTCGGTGAGCAGGGTGGGGTGCTCCTCAGGGGCGACGCGCAGCTCGTTGTAGAAGGTGTGGTGCCAGATCTTCTCCATGTCATCCCAGTTTGTGATGATGCCATGTTCAATGGGGTACTTCAGGGTCAGGATACCTCTCTTGCTCTGGGCTTCGTCTCCTACGTAGGAGTCCTTCTGACCCATACCCACCATGACGCCCTGCAGGGGAGGAAAGAGGCTCAGCGACCTCTCCACGGGTGGCAGCATGGGGCTCCGCAGCACGCTGGGCATCCTCCCTCCACGCAGGGGGCCGGGAGGCAGCGGGGCCCCACCACCGTGGCTGTGGCCGAGCTGGGGGGGGAGGCTCGGCTCGGAGGGGGACGGCGCCGTACCTGGTGGCGGGGGCGGCCCACGATGGAGGGGAACACGGCCCTGGGGGCGTCATCCCCGGCGAAGCCGGCCTTCACCAGGCCGGAGCCGTTGTCGCACACAAGCGCGGTGGTCTCGTCCTCGTCGCACATGGTGTCGGCTGTCTGAGGGTGGGGGGGGGGGGACACGGGCTGAGCCTCACGGCCGGGCCGGGCCGGGCCGGGCCGGCGCAAGGAGGGGGGCGGCGGGGCCGGGGCTTACCTGGGCTGGCTGCGGGCTCGGCTGGCAGAGAGGCCTCCCGCTCCTCGCCGGGTAGCTCGTGGACCGCCGCCGGCCGCCCAGCCTTTTATCGCGGCGGGCGGCGGCAGCGGCCGGCCCCCAGGAATGCGGCCCCGGCCGTCGCCATATTTGGGCGTCGGGCCCGTCGCGGCCCCGGCCCCGGCGCTGCCCAAAGAAGGCGCTCCTGGCCGCGGCCCAGGTGAGCCGGGCCCGGCCGTATAAGGAGCGTCTGCCGGACCCCCCCCCCACCGCTACCCGCCGCCGGGGCCGAAATAATCCCCCGGCACCGCCGGGCCCGTTAAGGGCAAAGCAGGTGGGGGCCGCCCCGGCGGGAGCGGGCCCGGGCCCTTCCCGCGGGGGCGGCCGCAGCGGGCCCGGGCCCGGCGGGGCGTGAGGGTGGAGCGGGGCCGGGGGGAGGCGAGGGGCCCTCGGCTGCGCGGCCGCCCCTCACCGCAGCCCGCGGGTTTGGGGCGGCGAAGGGAAATACCGGGGGCCGGGGCTGTAGGTAGAGGCGAGCGCCGGGGAGGAGAAGGGGAGCAGTGGGAGGCAGCGAAGGGACGAGGTGGATCTGTGGTTTGCACGCAACGCCGCCGCGGTACGCAGCGACAGCCCGCGCCAAAGCCACGCGCCGTGTTAAGCTGCGTGTTTTCTCTTTGCCATGACTTAAAAACGCATGGGATAACGCCTGTAAGGCGTGCACCCGAAGAGCAACCCGGTGAAGCATTCATCCCGGTGACTGATCCCAGAAGCCTGACGTAGCCACGAATGCTGGTGCTATTACCGAGCACCCATTGCTGGCCGCTGCAGCTCACCCCTTCCAAAAGGGCTTGCAGCCTCATAGGCAAGTCATTTCTGAAGAGCTGAAGGTACTGTGCGAGTGAAGAGGTACAGTTCCTCTTCTTCCGCTATGGATATTTCAGCAGATTCCACGTGGGACACTTCAAAGATTTTATACAGCAATTCTGGTTACTGATGGAAAGAAGAGGCAGTAACGCAAGCAGATTTGCAGCCCTGCCAATGAGTCAATACATGGAATCATTTAAACTTTCAAGACCTCTGAAGGCACAACTGGCCAAGGGTAAATCCTTTTAAAATTTAGCAGAAGGGAGTCAGGAGAGGAGGAAGAAGAATCAGTAAGCTAGAAGCACTCATGCTGTGAGGAGTCTCATGCAAGTGAAGGTGTTTTTGCAACCAATTTCCTCCACAGCCAGGCAGAGCAGATGGGTCAACAGAGAAGCAAACAACTTTTCTCCTCTGTTTAATTTCTATGTCCTCCAGTTTGGCAGTGTCCCTCTTTACCTCTGGCAGCTCTCAATTTCGTTCTGCTATAGATTTTCACTTCCTGACAAGTTATTGTATTGAAGTACGCTGGGGATAAAACATGCTATTCTCTCATACTGTTCTTTGACTTCTCGTGTTATTCTTCAATTCTGTCATCGACAACTGGCAGTACAAAAATCGGAAGCCTGAAAGCACTTAAAGGCATCACAGCCATCAAATCTATTTACAGAACTGTAATGCTCCGTCATGGTTTCCAAAATATGGTCAGTTGTGTTGAATCAAAAATCAAGTAACAGAAAGACTAACATCGCTGAAAGATAAACATTCTTAATCCTTCAATGAAACCTGACACAAACATAAACACACTCTAGCCCTTCCGTTTCTTCTAATTTTTTTCTCTACTCCAATCTCATTTAAAGCAAAATGCCCAATGGCAATGTTAAATTCTTACAGTTCTGCATAAAAGATCATTTTCCACAGGAATATCTGATGTTTAACTGGACTCATGAAATTAATTGGGTTTTGGTCCCAAGTCAGAACACATTTGAAGTTGGTTTCCAGAACTGATCTGGGCACAGACAGGAGCACTATCCCCAACACACAGCTTCTGAAACTTATCACAGATGATGACTGATAAGCCTTCCCACCACTCTGGTGACAACAGAGGATAGAAGTGTAGACATCCTGTACTGTATATATTTTCCATTACTGAGAAAAAAAATAACAAACAATATGTATTTCCTTATTCAAAAGGAACCACCCATGCTCCTTAAGCCATTTTAACCAAAACCTGAATCTTGTTGTCCCAGTTCATTTGTTTTTGTTACACACAGAAACAACCTAGAGTTCTGGCACGACCTTTGCTATGCAGTGGTAAATGAAGGCATCCTCCCCATATGGTAACCTGAGACAGGAGTTCTGCACCAGAACAGCTTATTGCATAATGAGACGGAAGACAGAGGAGTAACCCCCAAATCCCAGCCTCTTCAAGCTTCCCAACAGAATAGTGAACCAGCTCAACATTCCTCACACAAGAACATTAAACTTCAGTTTAGACATGGACGTTATTTTAATGAGGTTTTATTTAAGTAAACTCATTCCCCTAGCCTTCTGTTTTGGCAACAGTTGGATGGAAAGCCTTTGTACAAATGCCAAATGCCTCCCAACCCAGCAGCAGAATAAAACATTAGTTGCAAAGCCTATGTGACTGATTATTTCCCAAGAACCTGGTGAATGCTTTTACACCAACCAGAATAAACCCAGCCCAGCAGAGCAGCCAGGCACTTTGAAAGGGATGGACAGCTAAGGATGATGAGAAACGCCTGCTCCTGGAGCAAGCTGTCCTGGGCTCACCCTGCTGCTCCTGACAAAACACAGTCTAGGAAGGGATGAGATATCCCCAAAGTGTTTTGCTGTGGATGGCCATTAAAGAGATTCTTCTTCAAGCAAAATTTAAGAGTCTAGTAAAAGTTCGGGTAGAATGTATTTTGGCAGGGGGTGGCAATTTTCTCCCAAAATGTTAGATTTATCAGTAATGTGAAACCACCTTTAAACTTCCATTTAAGCAAGCACGTGGAATTCTTCTGAGGCTTTAAACCACCCACTCATTTGAAGCCACAGCTGGGAGTTATACCTGTACTTCTCTCTCTCAGCCACGCAAGGCTGCAAAAGAGCAAAGTTTGCTTCTTAGAACAATCTTAGAAGATGACTGCTAGTGCATTTCTTTCCCATATTAGTTAGAACCTCTCTAGATAAATCTATTCTTCCAAACATGTTCAGACTCTCAGCCCAGCTTACTGTATTAGTACAGGGAGCAGGGTAAGTCACAGAAGGGGAGCTGTGCTTTTAAAACTAGAAACTGGATTCTTTTCAACCAATTTAACTTCTGACCTTCTCAGCTGTTGGATCGAGTTGTTGCAGCAGGCATCAAGCCAGACAAGTAAAACATAAGGGCAGGCAAGTTGCTCTGCATTCACGCTCTGGCTGTTGAGCTACTTGCAAAAGAAAGGTGCAACAGGTCAGATTAAATAAAAGTTACTCCAAAGATTAAAATCTGCTGGTAATCAGAATAATTAAAAGTGATTTTTTTTTTTTTTAATTCACATGGGCAGCATGTGAAAAATTAGTAGCATCAACGAGTAGCACTAGTCATCAAGTAAGGAAGATCATGCTGGACTCCCAGACTGCCATAACTGCTCTCTAGGTTCAAGCAGTTGCTGTGAATGACTGCACAGTGAGCTGCTAATCTCATTTTTACATGTGTTCTATACATCTGGATGTAACTTGAAAGTTAAATAGATAAACATTTTAATATTTTGGTAAGTTTAACGTTACAGATATAAACCGAAAGAAGAGTACATTTACTGGACCAGAGGATGTTGAATGAGAACGGTTCTTTATGCCTTTCTACCACGTACAGAGTGACCAGGGACAACCCAGTTATCATTTTTGTACCAGTAATCTTTAACACAAAATCGGAATGACCTAGTTTCTCTAGCAAAAAGTGTTGTACGGAGAAAGAGTAATCTTAGGGGATAATTTGTTTCTTAAGCAAGCTAGAGAGTCACCCAGCATTCATGCTTTCACAGTATGTTCTCTGAACTGAAACCACAGCCCCAGTGAAGTGAAAGCAGAAGCTTCTACCTCCTGCAGTAGGTCCCACATTTCACCCTGTGTATCTTTGAGTCTCAGGCAGGACTCATTAGCAAAGACGTAAAATGAAACAGAAAGTTTATGAAAGGCAAAGAAAACAAAAGCTTTATTTTTCTTAAGCCTGAAAACACATCTCTGCCTCCTCTGACTACAGTGTCAGTGTCTATAAATTTAAGACCAAGTATATTACTCACCTAGACTTTCATTACAAAGTTTTAGCATAAAAAAAAAAAAAAAATCAAACAATGCAAAAAACTATACATTAATTCAACAGGTCTTTAGAAAAAAAATATTAAAAAAAAAAAAAATAGTGAGAATCATGCTTGTCCCTGAACATAGAGTTCATAGTTTGCCCTTAACACAAATTCAAAGTAAGCATTATATTTCAAGTTGCCAAGTTCATTTGCTTGCAGCAAGTCCTTCACCTCCGGTAAATATTCACTTAACTTAACTCCTACAACACAAAACCTTTTATTACAGCACTGATAAAAGTACTTTGCATTAGCAGTTAAGATCATTTTTAAGTAAGTACCTGTACCTGCCTCAGAGTTAAATTACTCTTTTGGAATTGAGACAATCTAATTCTATTACATGTGTCAAGAAATACAAGAAAGCTTAAGTAGCCTGTAGAATGGAGCTTTAAAAAAAAAAAAAAGAAAAAATTTCCTACCCAAACAAAACTTCTCAGTGAATTTATGATTAAACTTAAAATCCTTAAAACTAAAATCCAAGTCTTCACATAACATGTCACCAAAAAAAAAAAGATAAAAGATCAGTCATATAATAAATCATTATATCATCAGTTACAACAGTCAGTGGTGTGAGATTCTTACAAAAGGAAAGAAACTGACAGGATTGAACACCCAAAACTAGAACTGTTCTGAAGAACTTAATTTTTGTATTTTTGACATGGAGCCTTCTTCTGTTCTGGAAAAAGTTCACATGCAATAGTATTTAAAATGGACTTTGACTCTAAACTGCTTCCCTCCCGTCCCATCCCCAGCTGTAACTTCCATGGCTATAACTTCCCATGGTCAGCTTTAACTTTGGGGAGGGTCATTTTTTTTTTTTTTTTTTTTTTTGCTTTTGGAGAGGGAAGACAAAACCAAAAACCATTTAAACTAAACTAGATTAAGATCTTCTGAATGACAGACAAAAAGTTATTAATTCCTCACCTTACAGAAGATACGTATTTAACTTCAGAAGACATGCTTTATCGTACAGTAAGGAACTGCTAAAAATCTGATGGCTGCTCTGCTGAGCGAATAAATTCAGGGTACTAAGTTTACAACCAAGAAACCTGCTTACCTCTTACCCCCTCAACATTTTAGAGAGATAATTAGCTCCATATAATTTTAATTTTCTAGTGGAATGCATATAGAAGTTTTTATTATTCTGAAAATTTATTAATGCTACTTATTATTTATTAGTGTTCATCTTAAGCAGCTTTTGAAACAACAACTTCAAGAAGTTCAATTAGATTTAAGCACACTTTACCTTCTTTCAATAGTTTTTGTAATATTTTCACAAATATACTGTCTTTAGATGCTTCAATTGGATCATCTTTACCATCTGAACTGGACCATCTGCAAATCAAAGAATAATTTGTGGAAAGAACTGCACAGATGAAATAAAATGAAAACTAACAAGAAAAATACACAGTAAATTTTATAAATTTTAGAAGGTGATTAATACGTGTTCGCACATAAGTGTTATGTACTTGGCTACAGCTCAAAGGGTTTTTTTTCTATGTTGTGTTAATTATTCCTTATTCTAAGAGTAAAACTGCAATAAAATTACATTACTGTAACAGTCTAGTTTGGAGGACAATATAAATGCTTCCTGTCTTCAAAACTGTAGAGGAAAACATTATTTATTTGACAAAATAAAAAAATGTTATCAAATAAGAATTACCTATTTTCAGTAATTATATTTTATGACTAAGATGGAAGTATAGATTTATATTCTGGTAGAATAAAGGAAGAGCAGCAAGTTTGCTAACATATTGGGGAACAAAAAATGCAAGCACCACGAAAAGAGGAGGAAAAATACAATAAAATTTAAGTTGCAGGCCTGTAACAGCACACACATAAAACAAATACAGTTTATCTCATTTGTGATTAAATGTGAAGGTAAAGACTCGTGAATGCAAATCTCATCTGTAATAAAAACCCAGACAGATTTTTCTATGAGAAAGATTATTTTAAATGACAATTTTTTATCTTTGCATAGCTTTACGTGCAGCAGTTTTAAGTCAACACCAACCCAACTTCTTTTGCTGTGGTTCTAACCTTTGTTTTTAAAATTTCCTGTTCCATGTGTTAAAACTGCCAGACAAAACCAGTTCTCGTATCTCTCCCAAAGCCAACATGAACCTTCTTGGGCGATGCCATGGGACATGCTTGCAACAGATCTGGACCCAGCTCCCAGAAGCTACTACTTCACTGAAAACATGGTTTTACCCTGCACATCACTTGACACTCCCAAACTTCTAGGATTTCATCTTTAATTCTACTGGAAAGGAGGGAGGGAAAGGGAAGGGGGATTTGAGGACACAAGTCGCCCTTAGGCACGGAGGAGGACAGTGAGGACCCTACCAGAACACCAGGAGCACACTCGGCAAGGCTCTCCGTTCTGCTTAAGAACCTTACCACCCTTTGTGGCTGTTAAGCTAGAAAACAGATGCCATCCTTAAAAGCAGGTACTGTAACGTGTCAAACGCTTGCTGTTGCACACAGATGAAAATTAACACTACTTCTTTTGAAACAGTGATCAGCCTCTTTCTAAGCCTTTGTGAGCCAGCCTTGCTGGACTGGAAACTCAACCAGGACACCAAGTTTTCTAAACATTATTCAGTGCAAAGTGATCTTAAATCACATCTATTTAGCTAGCAGAGTGGGCAAAATCTTGTCAGCATTATATGATTTGAGTGGCTTAAATATTATGTCCAGAATTGTTCTCTGACCAGGGTAGACAGGACATAAACCGATTACTGAACTGGTGCCATGTAGGGGTTCTGGACTCTTCCATCTTGAAAACAACAGGAAGGGAAGAAACACTTGCAGTAGTGTGAACCTGTTTCTGCATATTATTTGTGTCATATGTGACAATAACTGAGTCATCCAACTAGGAATTTATTTTCTACAGACCACTGTCCTTTGGAATCTATCCTATGCAAAAGTGTGATGTCCAAATGCTGCTTATTTCCATTTTAATCACAAACAGCACAGTACATTTGGAATGTATTCTCTCCTCATCTTTTCTTCCTTAGGTCCTCCTGGAACACGGATGGGGGTTAGAAAAGCTGGGTAACTTTTGAAAATTAGAGAGGAAGGGGAGGAAATGTCACTTATTTAACCTGGGAGAGAAGAGTAGCACTGCTCGATGATAAGATCTTTCTGACCCATTGGATTCAGCCTATACTTGGTGTTGAACATCCACGAGTGGCTCTTAAGCAGTATTATTTAAGGCTTCAATTGCTTAACTCAAAAAGGTCATGAACCTGTCAGTGGGATTCAATGGCCAAAAATAAGTGAAATAAAAGTTTGCAGGAGTGACCTCTGCACATGTTGCTCTTAAAAAGCTTCTATCTTGAGATGCTTCAAAGGAGAAAAAGAGCTTCTGCATCAGCCATTTCTTTTACCTTAGCAAAGGGTTCAAGAATGAAAGCTGCATGGCCACTTTTCTGTCTCAGGTGCTGAGAATGTACAGTAGATTGCCAGTGAGCTCAGTGAACAAAGTACTAACAAGCTTTTTTTTGTTGGGGTTTCACTTTACAAATAAAGACACATTCAGATCACATACTTTATACTTTACTGATCTTATACTATGAAATTCAATCTTTTAAGTGAGCTAGAGAATACTGTACCAATATGCAATTCTGGAAAAGCATTCAGAAATATTTCCAGTCATTTATATTAGACTTACCCATCTCTTTGGAGAGCCTTACAGAGAATTTTAATTTTAAGATCATTTATATCCACTTCCTCTTCCTTCAATTCATAAGGAGAAAATGACAAGTTAAAACTTTTATTATTAAAAAAAAAAATAATCACTGTCACACAGATTATACCAACGAATTAGATTCTTCAGTTACTCAACATTGTTCTTAAATACATGTTATTTTAACATATGAACTGATCAGACTGTTGAAACACCAGAAACCGTTCATTTCCATTTGAAAACATGGCTCAGACTTTCTATGTCATCGCACAACTGCTGAAGACCAACTACCTTCATTTGAAAAAGGGCGTATTTTAAAGCACATGAACAAATACCAATTTGTATTTTATCAAGTTTTATTTTAAAATGTGCTAAACGGTGACTGAAGTCAAGGCTCTTTTTTTCAGCATGGCCAAGCTGACTTGCATGTGTTAGTGTCCACAGTAGGATGTACGTTTCAATAATGTATTAGTAAATGACTTCAAAGATAGACATTTGTCTTGGAAAGGGCAGTCCCTTCATTACACACAACTGAGATAATTGGTGTCAAAGCCTCTTTCAAAGTATAACGTCAGGAAAAAAAAAGACCAGATATTTTTTTCCACCTCTCAGTGTCCCAAAGTATCACTCCTACTTTAAATTCCCCTCATAAGAGGTAAGAGAAACCAGGAAGCCTTGAATTTAGAAATGTGCAAGCAAGAGGATGGGTCTCAAATTTATGCTATGCTTTTACAAGAGAAAAGCAGGGGAAAACTGGGGAACAGCTAGTTTTTAGACTCTAGTCTAAACAACCATCTCTAATTTGTGCTGAATGGTTCTACTGAAGTTATTAGAGACTCAAATATCAAAGCAAAAAATGATTCTGAAATCTCATGTTTTTAGAGTGACACAGAGAGAACCAAATGCGTTCACTCTATATTTTACTGCAAAATATTACTATTTGGACTATTTAGGTTGTCAAAATGAAGGGGGAAGTTAGAAAAAAAGCACTGAATTTTCTTTTTAAACAAAAGAGAACTAACTCAG